GCATAATTTTCATTTGGATCTATCTATTCGTGTTATGTGCATTAAGTCTCGTACGTTGTGTACGACTGATAACAGAAAATACATATTTTTGTATCGATTAAGACTCCTCTCCCTCAAAAATCGATTTCAGACCAGGTACACTGAAATCGTATGAAACTTTCACAATATGTTGAAGCTATAATGTGGAGGCTATAGTAAAATTTTCAGCCATATGTCATGACTTTTAAGGCAGATATTGACCAAGCAAGGGTCAGAAAATAGTTTATTTCGTCTTTAAAAAATTCTCTGTGGTCTTCAGACTGTATATTTAATCTTTTCGTTTGTTTGAAAGAGCATGTCAGAATGCAATGCCTATGAGATCCTTGTTTTTTTAAAAGTCTTACTTTTTTAAGGATAGAAAAGGAATTGAAAGTTCAATGACTCAAAGGATCTCTAAAAATGGGACTCTAGTTATATAAAATTACCCACAAAATAACATTTCGTGATTAAGTAATGTAAATGATTTATTAAAATGTCTTTCGTCTTATCTAGATTATACGACTTTTACTTTTTTGTTTATTCACTCTTATTAATCAGCATGGATGTGAATAGGAGAGAGAATAAACAATTGGCTCAAACACTCACCCCTACTCACACCCACACCCCACACGCACATCCACATCTATACCCTTTCAATTGACATTCTCTGTAGAAAGGTTTCCATTGATAATGGAAACAGTACCGGAAAGTTTCTTTCATTATTATACTTCTAGTACTATGCGCTGAAAAGACAGAAGAGATATGTATAATATGAATTAAAAAGTTTGTTTGTTTTATTTTTTATTTTCCTTAAAAAATCAGTTTTGTATCTTTGATATTTGATTCAATTTCGATACAAATCATCACAAATAAAGAAAAATAAAAATAAACTAATTTTGAAGAATAACATTCTTTTTTAAAAAGTAATCTAATGATGGTATTGAGTATCCAATTGGTCCTTTCTGACCTTGATATAAAATTTTCTCATCATATAAAACATAAAGTCTTTCTGGCCAAGCACGAAATAAATGATTTGTTCTATCATCCATAGTATCAGAATAGATAGATATGTTTTCCTCTTTAGTAATATTTGCCATTTCAACCATCACTTTAATAGCATCTAATCGTTCATTTATATTGCGATGATTTCGTAGAAAACTATATCCGTTTCCATCAAATCTCCATCCATCTGATGCATGTGCTTCTCGTATGTAAATAATAATAAAATCAATCGGATAGTTTAGTTTTTGATAAAATGAAGCAAGTTTTCTAAAGGATAATAAACTTGTTAAAAACGGTGGTCATGTACAACTACCAAAATTAACTACTAAATAACGTCCACGTTTCATTAATGAACATAAACTGATTGATTCAAAATTCATATAATTATTAAATAAATCAATATTTTCTGTCAGAACTGGTATCAGTTTTGCCGTCGTAGGTACAGGTTGACCAGTTTCTGTAAGACTATCTGGAAGTGTTTTCGCTAATCTGATTTGTTCACGTAGGAGCTTCCAGTAAAATATCCAAAATTGTAATCGTAATGCTGAACGAACTGCTAGAGACGGTGGAGTCATTTCATACTAAAAGCGTAATCAAAATAAGAAAATGTCAAATGTTGGATCAATTTATTCAAGGGTCTACGTATAGTTAGCTTATTTTTGTTTCTATTGATTTCAGAGTTTCAAATGTTTTGATAAGCACAATAGAAAATTAGTGCTGAAGTACATAGCGAGAAATGTCAACCTTTCCTGCACACAGAAAGGAACAAAGACGTCAATATGCTTCCGTGGATGTTGGGACTCCAGAATTATGATTTCTGGAACCACGATGTATGGAATTTGTGGCTACTAGCTTTTAGGATTTCGAATCGTAGTACTGTGGATTTTACGACCAAAGAGTGTTGGATTCTCGGGACACTGCTACAGTGATTGCTACATCATAGTGTTATAGATATTAGCACAATTGCCTCAATTGTTTTTGGCTATTGTATAATGAATTTTCCGACTTTGGAATTCTAAATTTTTGTGCAAGATGGTTGTTAAGCAGGCTTGAAGTGTACAGCAAGAAACTCTGGTCGAATGACCTCGTATTGCTTTCCGGAAACAGCGATAGAGTAGTTGAGCTATTATTCTAGACTCCATGCACTATTCTTTTTTCAGAATTGGGATAATAATACTGGTCGTTTTCGGTTCATTATTTTTTTTATTAAAAAAAAATGAATTTTCGAAGTTTAGCGCCATGCAATTTGAGATTTTTGAAACATGCTCATATAGAGTATAGATCCGAGCGCAATTTTTTTGTGTAGGCCTTCCTCAACAATCAACCTTGTATGAAAAAGAAAATATTTGGCATACTTTTAATGAAAGAAGTTCAGGTTGGAGGTCTTTCCTGCAGATTGCCCTCTGAATGTCTACAAAAGTTGTCAAAGGAGCACACATTGTATGTCGAATTTGTTTGCAAAGTCTTCAAGTACTGGAAACGCAGAAAAACTATGTGTTGTATGATTCGTCAGTAGGACAAAATACTTTCATCAAGATATCAAAGAATTATTTCATTCTAACTTACTGCTAGAGCCGTTCCTTGAATTTGTTCATTTGGCCCAATATCATCATTTTTCAATCTATCTTGTTCGGCTAATTGTTTAGCATTTTGAATCCACGTTTTTTCTTGTAGCGTAATAGTCAGCCAAAGACAATGTAGAATCATCATTACAGGTCTATATATCATTTGTTTCATTGTTAAAATTATTTCACTTATTTCATCTTTTAATCTCACAAACCAATGCGGCCACATTTTTATTTATTTTCAAGAGAGATTATTAGATATTTATGGCCATGCTTAGCTATTATATATACATCTACAAAAACGCATCATAACAATATTTATTTAGTTTCAAAGCATTTTCACCTCCTCAAGAAAAATAAATGTGACCGACTCTTTTTTAATCTTTCTTTTACACTCGTTGTAAGGCGAACCCTGACTTGAATCACTGCATCACTCGGATGAGAAAAAAAAGAGAAAGCAAGAAGAAGAAATGTGAATGAAGTAACAGGGCATAGATCATTGGAAGATGTGTGTAAAGGTATGTGCTTCTTCTAACTGTAGCAGAAGAGAAAAAACATTAAATATGACTCATATCATAGCTAGCACATTTTTTTGTTTTATAACATTACGAAGCACTGATAAGGATTTATAATCATTGGTCATCAAACTTGCCTGAGTTAACATCGGATAAGAGAAATATCAACGTATAACGATAAAGATATTGTGTATGGAAGAGGCTGATACTCCAGATATATACATAAACTATAATACCAAAGAAAAAAAAAACGAAGAAAATGTACATCAAGTACTGATGTGTTTTATAAACAGTTATTGGTAGTCAATGGAATGCTGCAAAATACGTTAACTTTGCGAACAGGCTTTCACAGTGCTCAGTGAAAGTTCAAGAATATATTGAATCATGTAATCAAGCGGATGTTCCTGGCTATTTCAGAGAAGAGGATGATGATACTGCCGATAGGATGTATTCATGGAGACTGTGTGAACAACAAAATCGATCTTGACGAATAGTTGAGAACACTATTTGCTACTGACCACATTCTTCTCGCCAAACAATAGACACAGAACCGGCAACCGCTATCATTCAACACCAATCAGTTTCTGAATGGCTAATAACATCTCAGGAACTGCGCAAATCATTCAACTCGTGCTCGATGCCAGCATCACAAGAAACATTTTCGTCGACGCTTGAAATCATCAGACAAAAAATTCATTACTCTAAAGAATATATGTGCCACGAGACTCCGTTTTGAGGGTGTGGGTGTGGATGTAGATATGGGTGTATGGGTGCGTACGTTTCCGCTCAAACCAACACCTGCCCACCCAGCCACAACGACAACCACATCCACACCCATTCCCACACCCAAATAAACACCAACCAAACATAATAACAATAATATTTTATCTCAAAAATTCGAAAGACATTTGTATTGTGGTAGCTTGATAGCTCTACCAGTGACGTAGCCAAAAATTTTCTAAGGGATGTACCCGACTCTTTATGGCGGATGCCAGTGATGGGATCAGTTCGGTTTGATTCGGTTGAGTTCCAAATATTTGGAACCGACTTCCATCCAAATATATATTTAAATATATTTAATTTTGTCAGAGTGCTCTTACATACATCTTTATTTCTTATTCCTTTCTCCTCTTATTTCTCTCTCCCTCTTTTCTCTTCTACTTTCCTATCCGGCCCCGTGACAATTTGAATAAATTATCACTCTTTTCTTCTGTTCTAAATGTAAGAGCATTCTAACAAAAGGACACGTTGAACATTATCTTCTTTATATAAAATAGTCTAAGCTGGAGTAGAGGACACTTACTCATCTCTCTCCTTGCATTTCAATTATATATTTCTCTCACTTATGTATGAAAATATATGTATATGTAATAGAAAAAAAGAAAACGAAAGATAATAATTCGAATAAAATTGAATTTCGGCTAAATTGAACGGAAGATTTTACAATCATCAAGTTTCGTTACAGAGAAAGGGATCTGTAACAAACATATTCACTAAAAGTGGATAAAGAAAGTGTAGCAAATTTCTTAATTTTACTCAACTACTCATTAGTTTCATTCAGTGCGCCCTTTTACAGACTACATTTCAGTATGAAGCACTCATATATATACGTAGCGCGTTCAAAAAGTATCCGGACTGATTTTATTTAAAAACAATAAGAAGCGCTGCTGTATTTGTATTATTGTCTGTGCGTAGTTCATAGAGTCCTCTATCCATAGGCATGATAAACTCTGTTGAATTAAACGTATATATGAAAATATAGAAATACATTTGAGGCCATTGTTTATACACTGACAGAAAAATCAAAAATTTTGAGCATCGCT